GTGTTGCCGATGTTACCAGTGTTACTCGTGTTCCCGATGCTACCAGTGTTACTCGTGTTAACGGTGTTGCCGATGTTACCAGTGTTACTCGTGTTCCCGATGCTACCAGTGTTACTCGTGTTAACGGTGTTGCCGATGTTACCAGTGTTACTCGTGTTGTACCAGTGTTACTCTTGTTACTAATGTTACCAACGTTGCTGATGAAGACTACGTTCAAGAATGAAACTGTACTGGCGATCATTTCAAGAATCAACAGCAATAAAAGCGGTAACACTAGAAACATGAGTAACACGAGTAACGCTGGTAACATCGGCAACACGGGCAAAGCATGGCCAAAGCCTTGACTTTGCGCCCCCCCCCCCACCCAAAAATGGGATGCGAAACTTTTGAAAGTTACTGATATGCGCTATAAAAATGTGCAAGTGACTTGCTCATACTTCTAAATGATTGAAATTTCCAAAATTTTCGAAAATCCAATTTAGCAAAAAAAAAATTTTCGTTCTGATTTAGAGTTATGGGCTCGCGAAAACGGAAGCATGCCAGAAATTCTTCGCGCTAACGCCACACACCTCCATCAGGAAATAATTTTGCTCCCCCCCCCCCCCCTAATGGAAACCCTGTCCTGGGTACGCCACTGCTATCGTCTTACATCTTGAATTGTTCTCGTCAGTTCTCCGACGTTAGATGCCGAAAAATTTCGTATGCTAAACAATTCTGAATCCTTCAGCTTCTGGTTCTTAAGAAATTCAAAGTGATTTGATTTCGTGACCACTTTCCTTTGAGAAAACTCTAATCTGCACAGCTTTGTCTTTGGCATTGTTTTCAATGAGAAGAAATTTTGCTGTTCAAAATAATATAGACATCGAGGAGATCACGCTATCGCTAAGGTTGATCTCGCAATCAGCGCGACAATGTTCGAGAAAACGTCTCGGTTTTAGGACGAGCGTTATTACTCTACTGTCTGCAGCGGCTCTGACGTCAGCTTCGGCGGCTGGATGCGGTAGTCTTCGGCCGTCCCGGTATCATTTACACGTCTTCCTGTACAAACCCTTACAAATGGAGAGTACAATATTAAGTGGTATTGTAAACCTTGAGGACCTTCCGTTGTTTCATTGAATTTTTATTCCTACTGGAACTTGGACTTAGAGGCTCACATACTTCACACGCTAAAGCAAGCTTCAAAATTCAACGCGTGTTTACAGTAAGGTAGTTGCGCATTATTTCCACTCAAAAAAAAATCAGAAACTAACATAATGCATCAAGGGAAAGTAATGGTTTGGGCATGTGATGCTACAAGTTGTACCGTCTTTGTGAACTTCTCTTCTGGTTGAAACAGTGTCACCCAACTCAGATACTCAAATAGACCGTTTTCACTCGAGCTCTAACACGGAAGGGTTTTTCAGACTGCCGCACGACCACAGCAGACTGCAGCTGACCGCATTGACCGCGGGGCCGCACAGTTTGCTACATCCTTTCGTGAAGGTGGAGAGGATAAATAGTTGTAGCTCAAACAGTCTCTTAACAATATATGTCCCAATAGTCAACACGAGCGGGAGGTAAATAGGTATATGCAATGACAAGAGGAATCTGAACAGGCATGAGCATATCAAAGAAAAACAATCGCTAAAATTTGATTGAGAAGAGTAAGTTAAGACCTATGAACTTTCCAGACGTAAATCACGGTGTTTTGATGTATTCGCAACTATTTTCTCTTTTACAAAAGGATGCTGCGATTGTGCGGCCGTTGCGGTCAGTGCAGTCAGCTGCAGTCTGCTACAATCAGTGCGGCAGTATGAAACAACCCGAAGCTCTCAGTGGTGGCTATCCCTCGATTCAGACATACACGATCTTCTTACAGGAAAACGATACTCTGTGACTCTGGCCTTTTGGAATGGGGTGTACCCTAATTTCACGAGTATAGGACGCGGGCATTTTCTTCTTAAATTGAATAGCACAGACACGCGAAGGACTCTGCAACCAAAAAGCCATATACAGTGCTGCATTACCTGAGAGTATCGTGCGACATAAGTCTCGTTTTCCGAAATAAGCGAGGCGGCTGAGGGGTTTGCTTGAAAAAAGGTGCGTTCTATACTCGTGAAATTGAGGAGACGGTCAAGAGGCGCGATTTCCTCATCTGTCACCAACTCAAAACTCCAGTTTAGTGCTATGCGAGTCTTCAAAAAGTACCAGATAAAGTGTCTCAGCTTACTATGTGTCCGATGTCACCACTTGCTGAGTTTCATGGTTTCTGCTGTAAAACGGACTGAAATATCTACGAATTTGCTCTAAAATGCATTTTCATGGGCTTTTGACCTTCGAAACTGCAGATTTCAATTTCTTCCATAGTATTAGGATTCAACAATACATGCAACTATCTAATACATTTTTTTAAAATTTCATATGCTTTTAGAGAGTTGTAGAACACTTATTATGTGTATTTGGTGTCCAAATGGCAATAAAAATCGCGCCTCTTAACATACCCCTTTGATATTAAAGTATACCAAATTTTGCCTTGGAACGCTGATTCCGAATCTGACTTCCGTTTCTGGTGATCGATTCTCTACAAGAAGTTATGAAGGATTTCCGCCCTAAGTTTGGCCGCCCAGGGGAAATGCGGTCGGAATGCCAATACCCGGTATGTTGTGGTGTATTGGTTAGTGCGATAGCCTCACAAGTTGAGCAAGTGTAATTTTGGATCCTCTTGTGTTTTTCAGTTTTTACTGCCTAGATTCTTATTGAAAACTAGGCATCCTCGAGGTACAGGGCTTTTCAACATAAGAGTCACAGCCTCCGCTTGCGCGGCTCCCCCAACGCGGCCGCCTCGCTCAGGCCGCGCGCGGCGTTTGCGGCGCATCGCCCGGGTTTTTGCCAAGCTTCAGTCGACGCGCAGCCAGCGCCACAAACGCTGCGCGGACCTAAGCGTGGCGGCCGAGCGGGGCGGCTGTGACACTCAGGTTGTAAAGCCCTGTAAATGCCTGCCCTTACTTTAAAAAATGTGGAAAGTTGAAAAATGATTACTCTTTGGAAAATGTATCCGTTGTGCGCTCATTGCGAGTAACTTTATGTTTTAATCACTTCCTAGATTCCCATCCCTGCGTTTAACATGCATTCATCTTCCATTCATTTTCATTTTTATGAGCACTTTTGGGATATGTGAAGGAATCCCGTTGAATTTCACTGAGCAAGGGCATGCATTCACCTCCAGGACGCCTAACTTTTGAAAAAAAAAAAAGCTTAATGGAGGCAACGCAAAACTGAAAAACACAAAAGGATTCGAACCTACACTTGCACCAACTTCTGAGCCTTGCTACCGGACTAACCACTACACCACAGCTACCAGCGGTATTGGTGCTCCGATCATTGCTCTTGGCGGCCAAACTTGCCGCGAAAATCCTCCATAACTTCTTTCAAAAAAAAAAACTATTAGCAGAAACGGAAGTCATATTCGGAATGAGTTTCCAGAAGGGTGTGATGGAGCATATCTCGTCTCAGAAGGCTCGACCGAGTATTGTTCTCTTGTTAGTTGTCGTCAGTAGCGTTCACGACTTCCAGGTGCGAGAAAAATATCCGCTTTCTCAGCTGGTCCGTTTGTTCCAAGAATGTGTTCTGCCTATCTTTTGATGGTCTTCCTTGGGAACGTTTTGCTTCGCGAGGATTCCACTTCAATTGTTAGTGCCCATTTTTCTCATAACCTACTGCGATGTTACAAGATGTTATCTGTGTCGAGTCATTTTTGGAAGACTGCGCTCAAGCGCTCGTGGGCGGTCCATAGAGCCTCGGACGTGACGACAGTGTCAACCCAAGTCTCAGCTGCGTAATAGAGCGCCGGAAGAACGGTTGATTCGAGTGAGCTCCAAGCTGCGAGTCCGTTAATTGATGGTGGCTTCCCTCAGAGGTTCGAAGGCTTTTCAGGCTGCTCTTCTTCCCAGTTAATTTCCTCAAATCGTTCTCCACGTTCACCAAAGTCCAAAATGCACGCAAGAAGACTTCATAATAGGGTTGCCTTCTTGTTCCATTTCCGATCTGCAGTAGGCATCCTTCACGAATTCAGTCTTCTTCCGATTTAATCGCATCTAATCTTCTTCCTTCACTACTTCCTTTGGCTCCTTTAGCACTGTCTCTGCTTCATGATTGTGCTCGAAAAGACGATGCCATCCGCAAAATGAAGATTAGGGAAGAATCTCCTAACACGTATGCCTCTACCGTCCCAGCTAGTGGCTTCATCACCTACTGCCGGGGTGGAACTTCCCAACTGGGTTATCAAGGGGCGCGAACAGCTGCGTTGTCATTGTACAGTTCTTCTACCAAGTCAAACTGGGTCCACACTTTGACGACTACCGCTGACAGGATGGGCGTTCGTTTCGCAGCGGCAAAGGCTTTCTCGTAATCCACGAAGATTAGGACGAGAAGGCAGTCGGTATTCCCGGCAGACTTTCATAACCTTCGAAACTGTCTGAATGTGCCCTCGAAACCGTCTGGATGTGGTCCATGCACCTGAAACCTTTGCGAGATCAGCTTGTTCTTAGTGCTACCCGTCTACATTTGTCAGGGTGCCGCTTTGTCACTTATCATCATTTTTGAATACATGCACTGGTGACAGGTGATTGACGTTGCTTGAGTAAATTAGTAAGTACCGCCATTAGGCCCCACCTACTGGTCCTTTCCCCCATATTATTGCAACGTGCGAGGACCAGAATGCGCAGAGGCCCGCCGCATGGCGATATTCGTTGCTCTACCTAGAAAGCCCGTACATGTGTGTAACCATCCGTGACACTTCGCCGAACTTTTTATTCAAATCTAATCAAAAATTGAAACCTGATTTTTTCCTTGGAGTAAGTGCATATAATCGAGTAGATTTTCACTTAATATAGTGTGCTTACACTACAGGTGAAATGCGGTAAAATTCGCACGTGAGCAATTAACTCTACGCCTGTGACGCCGGCCAAGTGCGCGCGCAAAATACCGGCATCACTGCGTGGCTAGTTGTTCACGCGCAAACTTTACCGCATTTCATTTGCAGTGCGAGCGCACTATATTGAGTGGAAATTCTACTATCATCCTAGGTCACTGTTTTGAATTTAATCATGTGTTGCTAGAAGAGAAAAATTGCATCTTCTGCAAATTCGCTGCATTAATCAATTGCATCTTACTCCGGAGTAATGAATTCAGCACTGTATACGATCCGGACAAACCTGAAGTTCAAGATCAACATGACCCTGTCTTAAGATACGAAGCTGTGTATGGTTTCCCCATGATAAGCAATAAAATTCATTACATAGCAAAAAGAGATCACCATTTCAGTAAAAGCACATTTTTCCCCGTACATATTAGTGTCTACTGTCGATATTCTCCTTGTTTTCTTCAACATCGCATAACGACGTCCCTATTCTAGCGGACAAACTTTCCAGACGTCGCTTGAGGGCTAGTAATTCCTCCTGACTAAATCTTGACATCATCCAACGTTCTAATTCAGAAAAAAAAAGAGATTTACCCGTGCTGCAGCACAAATATACTCGCGCCAATTGATGCCGTAAATGGCCGAGCAGGGCCTCTCGTTTCTCTTTGCAGCTCAGCAGCTTGCAGAGACAACTACAAAATGAATTATATCGAAACCAAAAAACTTGGTCAGTTTAGGAAACAGGAGAATGTCTGTACTACAAGATATCACCTTCGACGTTTCCATGGCATAGCCGAGCATCCTAGCACGGCATTCTTTCACTGTTGCCAACAGCTTCGTCTCTTCTCCACTCAATTTCCGATCAAAAGAGCGGGCAATGACCTGCACAATAGGTTTACTATAAGGTTAAACTCTAAACGAAAAATACTTACTCTGTCAGCACGAAGCAATGATTTTGTCATGTCACTCCGCACCTTTTCTTTCTTATCTTTGAGTGAAACGTTTTGACGAAGAACCTGAACCGAAAGCTTAGAGAAAAGCCAAGGAATCATGGAGAAAACTTGCTTTCAACAGTCGCTGATTCACATCATTTTGCTTTTCCGTCAGCTGCTTGGCAAATTTCGTCAAGTCTGCCAATCTAAGTAATCAATCACAACATATGTATAGCCGTCGCCGACTTTCACCTTACCTATCATGGCTCAGTTCAAGGGCTGCAGCCATTATCAGTTGATTTTTGTGCGCTATGTTGAAAAAGTTGGCGACACTTTCCAGGTATTCTCGTGTCGATTTGCCAGTACTGCAAATCTCTAGACGTAGCCCATGTAAGGCAAAAAAATTGTATTATAAAGCACAAATGCAAAAAGGCACACATAGCGTTCCCTTGATAAATTGCTCAAATGACGTGAACCTACGTTAGTTGCGGGAGGGGCTCTTTCTTGGCTATGATGGCCCTGAGAGCGTCTTCGTTCAATGGTGATCGCGCGACAACGGGTACGGACAGCGTTTGGGACTTCGCATAGGAGGATGTCGTATCCCTTGTTCTAAAGATGCTTTGAATGAAAGAGATGCTTGAGTATAGGTGATGAAACTTGCAGAACTGGAAACGGTTTGGTGCGCACTCACTTCATGAAAACTGTTGTCAATGGAGGGTCTTGCGTGCAAGCAATGACAACCGTCGTTGGTCCTCGTGTGCTGCCTGATTTGCATATCAACTGTACAGCATGATTTGGACCCCAGCTGCACAAAATGCTTTTTGTCTCCGTGTTCGGTGTGACATTGACCAGTTCACGCACCTGCGTGGATGCTGAGCATGTGCTTGCTCCACTGGAAAAAAAGGAATTGATTCTGCGAGACAAAAATTGGGGAAGAGTCAACCTTTGGTCTTGTAGTAACATTGCATATTCGTGTATCCACTCTGACAAATCCAGATGTAAAACTAATGAATTATTAGCAACGATAACAGTAGAATCAAGTTGTGTCGAGCATAAATTTAGGCGAGGCTTTGTAGCAAGCTGGATTTGCTCATGCAGAAATAAACTAAAATAAATCTTAAAGAAAAAAGAATGACTGGATCAAGACCAACTTGTGAACAGAAGATTCATCAGGAACAGCCACGACGAAGGAGACCACATTCGACGACGACAAGACAGCTAAGACAGTGAAGATCTAAAAAAATAAACAAAATATTTCAAAATAGCTTGAAATCTATAGTATATTGTGCTAATGGATTCTTGAGTAGAAGATTTTTAGCATTACAACAGGATTATTAAATAGTGATTTCAGTGGATAACAAGATGAAAACTAAACTTCACCGCGGATCTATCAGTGGAAGTTAGAAGAAACGGACAAAAACTGACGCGAATTCGCGCAAAATTCCGTTGAGAAAGACTGAATGCTGCTTAATGTATCATTATTAATATAATAGTTTTGCACAATCTACCACTCTTTGTGCTACGCTACATGCTCAGATATCATACAAAGCAAGATTGGCGCTTTAAGGTTGCAAGCCGCGGTAAAGTGTCGCTTTTCTGGAATGTCTATGCGCCATGTACCACCTTTCCAAACTTTGATAAACATCCAACTTGCAGTGATTAACGTGAGAAAAAAGCAAAATAGGGGTCATTTTTCAGCATGAACGATTTTTCTAAGCTATGCTAAACACGGAGCCATGCATTTAGCAGCTAAGAGGTCATCATATTGCCGATTACATATGGGAAAAGTCATGGAAATATGGAAGCACCTCGGCCCGCTTGCAGTGTGAAAAATCAGCTTAAAAAACAGCATCTTACTTCCCTCACTTTCCCTTGAAGCCATCATGAAAGGACTTGCATTTTTAAGCCTATTTATTACAAGAACAATAACTCACTTCACCAGCTGGATGTTCTACGACTTGAATACCAACTGGGTCACAAGGCAAGGCAGATGGTGGGACCAGCGGCCGCGTAGTAGGCTGGACGTTACCTGAAAGCTATGTACTTTATTTGTACAAAACGACAATTTTGCTGACCCACTTAAACTGCGTGAAGCGGAATACCATGAAATAGATATATGCTATACTCACCAATAACATTGACCGTAGTGGAAAATAACTCTCCTTCGGAATCGATGGCAAACAGTACAGGATTAGATTCTCGCATGGTAACGCAGTCAAATGACACTAAACGCTATAGACTGCAAAACAGAATTGTATGCAAGATAGAATTTCGGAAATGAAAACGACCAAAACAGAATTGGAAAATGCAAGGTGAACCTCAAAAAATATATGTACGAAAAGGATGAATTACCGATGGACTTGAAAAATCCATAAGAGTTAGAACCCGGAGCTTCATAAGGCCGATCAGATGCACACATATATAACGAGTAGTCGATAACGATGCTTGGTACATCATATACGTTCTCTGCTTGATATATTCTGGAATCGAATATTCAAACAAAACGATCATGGACTTGACATAACATTCCAAGCGCTGCTCCATTCAAATAAGCTAACAAACTTGTAAATCGTTAGAAATCCGCTCAAAAGGAGCTACGCAATAAGAATACTGCTGATGCTGTATGGCATTGAGTTTGCATAGTATTGCCAATTTATACGGTAGATAAACGGTGAATGCGTGGGGGATAACGTTATCGCTTGAGACTTTGCTATAATAGCTTCTTGCCGAATGCTGAAACGCGAATTTTGATAATACTCATTTGAAAATGGAAACTATTCAAAAAGTTCCGTTGTTCAGTGAAAATCCCACCCATCTTGATCAAACAAAAGATCTTCCAAAGCGCAAATAAGTGAATCACCAAGCGGGACGCGTAGATAAAGTTTAGAGGTAGGGGACTCCGCGGGTCACCTATCGTATGCCCACCGTAAGTTCAAATATGGCACTAGCCTGCGAGATCGCTATGATACGATCGGCGTACCAGATCACTTCTCTGAGTAATGTTTTAACATATTACGAACTCAATTCTTCGCGCTATTCGGAGTGCGAGCAATTTTATAGACCACTTACAGGCAGCGTCCCCGTAAAGTAGTGATTCTAGGATTCTACACGTTTGCAATGACAAACACCCCAACTAACCTATCAGTGAAGCTTGGAGCGGAAAGACGCGCCTGTAAAGCTTGGAATCCACTCCGGAAGTTTCCGGACCCCGCCCACTTACAAGTATTTTGCCATGAATGAGGATATGGGTATGAAGAGCTTCGAAAAAGCTCATTTTCGCCATTATCATGCGCTGCAAAATCCAGGTAAGGTTCAACATGGCGAAAGGGCTTCAAAAAGGTGAAACAGAATAGAGCAAAATTTTGCCGAGAGACTGCCTTCAAAGCACGAAAGAAAATCACCTGCAAAAAAAGAGCTGAACAGTTCAATTTGAGTGATATTCTAGTATAACAAATACCTTATTCGGTTGTCATCAAATAGAACAGCGAGGTAGTGCATAGAGCAGTTGAATGAATCAGCCATAATCCACCTTACTTGCACCACTTTCGGAGATCGCACGGACTCGAAAAGAGTGGGATGCACTGGCTCAAGCCTTGAATTAAACTTTAGCGAACCATCAGTTCAATGGGAATGATGTAACAAAACTTACTCGCATACATACTGGTCGAGCGGAACATAGTTCGACTTAGATGCCCACAAATCTGTGGACACGCGGACAATGAAAACTCCATTTGCACCGCAAAGAGCTATGAGAGATCCATCGTTCGTGGAAGACATCGAAGTGATTTCTGCATCTTCAGGGAGATGTGGAGAACATGTAATCTCCTGAATTACACATCAAAGGAAAAAGAAGACAGAAATTAAAAGACATCTTAATGAAGACTGGACTTACCACTGACTTGGTATATTCCGCATAGCCGTTTCTATCTGCCAAGCCATAAACAAATGTAAATGATCCGTCACAGTATACTGCCAAGTTCTTATACCGAAATGAAGATACGATGTAACGCTTCCCAACAAGGTATTTCCGCAAAATACTCAAGCTTGATCTCATCTGAAACAAAAATGGATTGCGTTCGATGAATGGAAAACCGTAATAGGAAGAAATCTGGACAGAAATTGAAGTACGAGTACCATCAGCTTCTTCACAATGCCAGTTGAAATTTTTCGAATTTGAATGTGCGATAAGCATCAACATGTGCATTCACACATGCATCATATATTACGTCATGCTCTTTGAGGTTACGGTAACCACCTGCACCCGTGCCTATGTACAGTCGAGTAGATTTCCTGCTTAATATAGTGCCCTTGCAGACGCGACAACGCTGGGGCGTCAGTAATTGCCTGACGAGTTCCCGAGCTAGTGTTTTCCACAGGATTATAAAAGTCAAACCGACATCGTTTTTGATTTAGGCGTCAAAAAATAAAAAGTGCGTAGTATCCGCAGTAAACGGACTTTACATTCAATTTGACGCCTAATATAAAAAAAAATGGAAATTTCTTGTTTCTGACCGTCTCTTCGAATCGGCTATATTATAGAAGCCAATAGGCATATGCTAAAACTGGGATTTTAAAAGTACTCCAAAGTGAAGTTCAGTAATCACAATGAACCAATCACGGCCAAATTTGGGATTTATATGTTTTCGAGGTCCTTCTTTTCAGTAACAGTGTCTGTTTGCTGAAAGCTGGAAGTGAGATTTCAAATGCTAGAAGTGAGACTTCAAATGCTAGAAATGAGATTTCAAAAAAAATTCCAGGTTGAAGTTCAGGAATATTAGTGGACCGGCCATGGCCAGAATTGGGATTTATACGTTTTTGATGTTTTTTTCGTTTCTAGCTATGTTCAATTTCAGCAAAATTCAAGGTGAAGGTTAGATAATGAGCTCATGCCAAAACCATAAGTTCTTTATTTCGATATTCGTGCACATGATATACGTACGACATTACTACCTCGCTAAAGGTGCACAGCTTGTAGCCAACAAGACTGTAAATAAGTCTTGCTTGATAATGGATTTATGGATAATCATGAGGCATTCTCCAAAACAATAACAGTCAACTAGTTATGGCTACATGAGATACAGGTCACAGCCTTTGGCGCCTGCGGCATTTCGCTCGAAGAAAACCTTTATGAGGTCAGTCGCGACGCGGGGAAGGGGAGACTGTAGTTACATGTACAACTGTGATCAAATGCAGGCAAGATTCTAGTTTCACCCACAGTTAACTTCAAAAAACAGGCTCTCTAGTTTTAACCGTTAGATCCTGACCTTCAAAATTTGTTTGTAACTCTTGTATCCTGACCTTTTGCCCTAAACAGGCATTGTTACTGAAAAGAAGGACCTCGAAAACATATAAATTCCAAATCTGGCCGTGATTGGTTCATTGTGATTACTGAACTTCACTTTGGAGTACTTTTTAAAATCTCAGTTTCAGCATATGCCTGTTGGCTTCTATAATATAGCCGATTCGAAAAGACGGTCAGAAACAAGGAATTCTCATTTTTCTGATATTAGGCGTCAAATTGAATGTAAAGTCCGTACACTGCGGATCATACACGCTTTTTATTTTTTGACGCCTAAGTCAAAAACGATGTCGGTTTGACTTTTATAATCCTGTGTGTTTTCCAGTGTTTTCTTTGCTTATTCTATGCTTTTTTAGGTGATTCGTTGCTGATAAAGAAGATAAGGGTAAGTTAGAGAGTAGTTTATGTTTTCCGAGAAGTTCTATCATCGCATATTCATAGATATCCACGTGGAAGCAGTTCGCGTCAGCTTCTTGTCTATTTTTTTGTCACCTCATGTCTCTTTCTTCTTGTGAGGTACTTCTTTGAACGCTAGTGGGTTTTTACGATTGACTTATTGTCTTTATCACATGAAGTACTTGATTGAAATGCTATTTCTTATAGAAGAAAGCCGAAGTTGCTGCAAGACAAGCCAACAGCGTTCAAAGAAACGCCTCACAAGAAGGAGAAGGAGAAAAAGTGACAGAAGAAAGGGAAATGACAAAAAAATAGACAAGAAGCTGACGCGAAATGCTTCCACGTGGATGTCTGTGAATATGCGATGATAGGACTTCCCAGAAAACAGAAACTACTCTTTAACTTACCCTTTTCCTCTTTATCAGCAACGAATTGACTAAAAAGCATGAAATAAGCAAAGAAAACACTGGAAAACACTAGCTCGGGAACTCGCAAGGTATTTATTGACGCCCCAGCGTTGTCGCGTCTGCAGGGACACTATATTAAGCAGGAAATCTACTCGACTGTACGTTATCAGTTTTGTCCAGGAGCGAAGGTGGCTCCTTTTCCTAAAAAACAAAGACATATTCTCACTGTATTACAAAACTCAACAGGTCATCGACTTGATACAGTAGTCAAAACAGGCGTAGAGGGATTAAGATGCTGTAATGCACGAACTTCGCTAAAATGTTTTATTGAATGTGCCTCTAGACAACCATATAAATCAAATGATCCGTACTTGCTTATGCGCCGTATCAGGATTTCTTTTGAACAGGAATAGGGAGGGAAGGGGCGATAGCAATTTTTTCGAATGAAGGAGCGTGGCGTTGACTGTCGAAAAATTTTGGGAGGCTTTCCGAAATTCTTGTGCCCCCTAACCCCGAAATTCAGGATGAAGGACGTGGCGACAGCCGCGTCAACGAAATTTTTTTACAAGGTTTATACGAATTTTTTTTTTCAAAATTTCAAAAAGTTTCTACATTTGCAAATAGCAAGTCACCTACACATCTATATATTTTTTGTTTTGTTTTTGTTTTGTTAAATGGTTTCAAGCTTGATTACTAACCTTCGGTGCTTTTTTTTCAAAACTGATCTGTCACCTTCCACACCTTCCATGTACTGTTATCCGATATCTTGAATGCATTGATTTTGACGCTATTTCTGCTTGAACTGGACTGCAGATGTATCTGGGACTAGACTGTTAGGTTGGTGGATACCTAACGTGGACCAGGCTAGTCTTGGACGCCCTCGAAGCATTAATAATCTTAGGGCGGTGGCATTCCCCAATGCTAATCATCTGCTTTCGCAAGCCGGTAATTTCGGCCTCAGCCCCCTTCCCCTTTTTCAATCGTTCTTTACTTGCGGTTCTAATGGTTGCGTTCTGCAACAAGTGTAGGTAAGTATAAGGAGTGGAAGTGTGGCAGTTATGTTCGATCGAGTTCTGTCAACCTATTTCTTTTGGTGCACTTATAGTGCATATTTAAATAAATAAATAAATAAATATATACATATATACAAGAAAAATTTTGGGGCCCGGATACTGGAATAGCGCCTCCTTATCAAGAGTGTTATCAAACGGTAGTGACATCCACAAGCAGTACAAATGCTCTGATCTGCTCCTGAGTCAGAGCGATGCTTTGCATCATCTGATGGGCTTGCCCATAATCGTTGGTAATATCTCGCATAAGTTCTCTCATTATAAATGTACCAGTGCGTCACCTCTGCTTCGCAGAGGCTCGCACTGGCCCTACTATCTACACTGACCGCCAAAAAGTTGCGGACAAGCCGCCTTCCTCTTTTCATCGCTCCTTTTCAGATGGAAAACGAAGATGAAAAAAAGATTGGATAGCACATGGTGATAGAGCTCACCAAGAACTACAACCCAGGTAAGAATACTATATCGTAGAGCTCATCGAGGGCAATAATCGAGTAATGGTTTCTTCCAAAAAAATCCAAGCTTGAATTTTGTTTTGCTTTTTTTCAGAAAATAATTTTTAATTCCCTTCTTCAAGCCAAATTTCTTCACATGGAAATCTATTCAAGGATTCCAACAAGGCTGCTCGGATAAAATGGATGCTCTTTGCCATCCTCTATGCATCGGACGTGTACTGGTGAGTTTCTTTGCTGAAAATGGCTCTTGACAGTGCGTGCACATGATCTCACCTGCACCTCACCGCTGACTTGCACCGCTTTGCAGGCTTGTATCTCAGCCGGCAGTCACTCCATAAGCCTGCATGTAGGCTCATTCGAAAGAGCGTGACTTCGAGGACACGGTGGTATGCAAAAAAGTTGGGTATGAGAAACAGCAGAGATTTGGCGGATGGGGTGACAAAGCGCAGCTTCAATGGTAGGCTAAGGATTTTTCAGTTAAAGTTGAGCAAAGCTTCTTTCGCTGCCAGTTTCATCCTGGAAGTTCAAAACCGTCAAATTTCTTGTAATAGATCTATTTCGGAGCTCTGAGACCGTTCTAGTGTTGATAAGAGCCTTCACTCCATTCACCTCTAAAACTGCACTTTGTCACCCCATCCGCCAAATCTCTGCTGTTTCTCATACCCAACTTTTTTGCATACCACCGTGTCCTCGAAGTCACGCTCTTTCGGATGAGCCTACTTGCAGGCTCATGGAGTAACTGCCGGCTGAGATACAAGCCTGCAAAGCGGTGCAAGTCAGCGGTGAGGTGCAGGTGGGATCATGTGCACGCACTGTCAAGAGCCATTTTCAGCAAAGAAACTCACCAGTACACGTCCGATGCATAGAGGATGGCAAAGAGCATCCATTTTATCCGAGCAGCCTTGTTGGAATCCTTGAATAGATTTCCATGTGAAGAAATTTGGCTTGAAGAAGGGAATTAAAAATTATTTTCTGAAAAAAAGCAAAACAAAATTCAAGCTTGGATTTTTCTGGAAGAAACCATTACTCGATTATTGCCCTCGATGAGCTCTACGATGTAGTATTCTTACCTGTCCGGATAACTTCTGTTTTTGCTCCAAGAAAAGACCTAACAGAAAATTTTCGCGTTCGAAGAATTATTGTCCGCGACATGTTGACGCGGCCATTTTCGGACTTTTTTTTTAATTTTTTAAACTTTTATAATACATGTTTTCCAGAAAGCGCAATGTGTGGGTTGTAGCTCTTGGTGAGCTCTACACCATATGCAATCCAATCATTTTTTCATCTTCGTTTTCCATCCGAAAATGAGCGATGAAAAAAGGAAGGCGGCTTGTCCGCAACTTTTTGGCGGTCACTGTATGTGCCTTACTCATTCTCGTAGAATTGTGACACTGGAACTCACCGCGCTGTGCCGACTACCACGAATAAAATATAAACAACTACTCATTTAAAAAGCTTTTTCACATGAGGTCGGTGATTTCGCGTGGATGAAACTTTTCACAGGAAGACAAACGCAAATTTGAATAGGTTTTTGAATTTGTCATGGCTTGGTAGTCGCCATAAAGGCAATAGTAATCGTGAACTCATATCTGTGCGAAAATCTTCTGAAATGCTTGGCTAGAACCTTGGCAAATTAACCATTTACGCCACCAAACCTTTTCGGCGCCGTTTTCATTATGTAGTAAACTTTTAAGCACTTTTTGGGCTAAAGTCCATCGTTTGCACATTTGCTAACCAAACACACCCACGACTTTGCGAAAAGTGGTGATACGGACCCAATTTTGCGGGACAGAAGTCAGGTGGATCTGTTTGGCGCGCAATTTCTGAGGGATCCACTCAACGAATCTACTCGTGCTTTTGCATGTTAGACTTTCATGAAGGGAGCATGTGCTATGCAAAATTTGGGCTAAGAACACTGGCTGGAACACGCTCTACGAATTTCGTAACAGACGGACACACACAGAGAGACACACAGACACACACACAAAAACACGTAAACAACCCTTAGCCCGTTATTATAAGGTCTTGATATATATGTAAGTGTAAGTAGGTAACTTCCGTAATTTTCTCTATCCAATCTCGGGGAATGCGCCTGCTTCCCCCCCCCCTCCCCGCCTCGACCGCCATTGTAACATTGGTATAACTAGAGATATTTTTGAAGCACAATTTTAATAATGAAATCTGCTCCGTCAACAAAAACTACTCGGTCTTCAGGAAATTCGGGAATTACAGCTATACAGCGATTTATAAGCCAAACTCAGGAGCTTGGATGTTTACCGTGACGTCGTCGGAACAATGAAGTTTTTTGAAAATCAAACTAAGGTATTAGATGACGTAAAGGACCTGATTCCGAGCATAATGTCTCCCTCTGCTTGAAAGTGATTTTCAAAGGCAGTGTCCGGGCAAAAACTCGATTTTTAGAAAATCCACTTACCGCAATGCTAAATCCGAAAATCCACATTAGAACGCGAAAACGGCGAGTATATGCGTCTTCCAAAGCCTTGCAATTTGAAATTCTACGGTCCCCGCCAGGACTGGGACGCAGAGTCGCTGCGGGAACCTACGATTTTGATTGTGGCAGCATGCGTACTCTGCCGCAGAACATGAATTCAAACAAGTGGAGGACTCCGACCCAAAGAATTTTCTCCACTTTTCGATCTTTTTTCTTGCTTTAGGTTGACCCTTTAGGTTATAACCTCGTACTTGCGCGATGCTGTGTCTGAGGGAGGCCACTTGCGCATGGCACTGAAATCCCAAAACCCCTACCTTGTCCGGAACTGCTTTTTTAGAGGAGTAATGTTGTTGCGGCGTTTCCGGCGAGATATAGCTCTTAATCCGTTGTTTTTTAACGGTGGCGCCGATGGTACTGTACATTCGCTTCATTTCATATGATCATGTGTGCCATTGCACACACAGTCCACTTTGGCGTCCTCATCCTGGATTTGCAATCGCAAAAACGCAAGAGACTTACCGATTGTTATCGATTACATCAATTTGAGGTGACTAGTAACTAGAAACTAAAGAAAATGCTAAGAACACCTTGGAAACACTTACCTGAAGGCTTGTTTCTCCCACGAATCCAGGATGGGGACGCCAAAGGTGAACTGTGTGTGCAATGACACACATGATCATATGAGATGAAGCGACTGTACCATATATCATTGGCTGTTTCTCCCTTACACTACATCACATATCAGAATCAAAGACCGTTTAGCAAGGCAAACGTGCTCTTTGGATTGCTCCATTACTTACTCCTATCCGGGATCAGCAGATATCTTCTGAGCTGAGACGTGAGAAGATGAGACGTGTCAGAATCAATAAGGCGTATGTTCTCGTTACATTAGCCACGATATGCGGCTCTTCCCTTTTTGCTCAGCTTCTAGTCCATTCCATAGCCTCTCTGAGTGATAGCAAACATTGCTTATCCAGGGCTTGAATCGGCATATATAACTTTCATTCCTTTGTAACTCCCTCCCTTTTCTTTCTTGCCTTTTCCTTTTTTTCCTAATTCGAGCTAAGCTTGTTTCAGTATCAACAAAATTGTAATACCGATTCAATTTCATAATCAATTATCTCCTTACAACGTAGACATTTAGAAAACTTTTTTGCTGTCATGTTAGCTTAGGGTAACGCTAGAACTCTATGTATGACGACATTTTTGGTTTCAACCCGGGTCAACCGATTTTGAAATGTACATACACCTTCTTGTACAATACATCAGTAAGGCTTATCACCTGGAAGAGAAAAATACATAGAGCTTAACCCGTCTGAGCGAGTAAAAGACCCACCAGACTGGGACATTAAACGCGCAAAACAATTGCTTTCTATGTTTTGTATATGCTAAAATTGTCATGTAAAATTTTGAAGAGTGCGAAACTATACCGAAATTAAAATAAATCTAAAACTTATGCATTTACTGGAAGAGAAGAGTTTTGCTCAAGATTATGAGGCAGGATTTACAAGTGCTTGTTCAAGGTTGTGTTAGTCCTGCACAGATATGAATACGAGAACGAACAAAAAACTTTTGGTTAGGGGACTATATGTCGCCGAACGTGGAAAGTTCTGCCTGACATCTGCAACAAATACACATTCCAATACATGCACAGGCTGAGGATCTGCATCGTCCGCGGGAGCCTCCCACTTTCGGCGACATATAGTCCTCTACCCAAAACTTTTGATTAATTATAAACGAGCTGGAAAAAAATGATAAGAAGTCTTAATATGTAATTTCAAATAATACCATCCATAATTTTTCTTATAAAAAACCAAATAGTTTCGCAGATAAATCTGTATATAGAAATGGCATCAGCTACGTCGTTGAAACCCGGAATTGAAGCTTGCAAAAATTGCAAAAGGTCTGAGGCATTTTCCATGTTTTTTATAGGGAAGCATAGCTGAAATGTTCCGCAAATATTCACCAAAACCCGATCTTTGAACCAGGAAAAATCTGCCCTCCCCCTTCTTCGCCATCTCAAATCCTATCGTTCCTTTTCTAATTCACGTTTTGGGTTGAACTAGTTGTTAGTTCAGGTGCCCTCGTTAGATTACAAGTCAAATCATTACTAGAAGCTAAAGCAGCGTTGTCTAGGGCAACCTCGACTTGCAAAGAGGCGTAAATGTCGGCAATCAAAGTTGAATTGCGAGAAAATGTCTCGAGTAGTTCTACACCCACATTACCTCTTTTCTACAAATTGCCATTGTAAGATTGAACAACTAGTACAATCATTTTTTCCATTTTTGCTGCAAAAATTTCTCAAACAAATTATTAGCCTTCCCACATATTCACTATAATCTTTGGAGAGAGCATCTGACAGGCCAATATGCACTTTTATTTGAGCTGATGAAAAATATTTGCTAAACAATGGAAGGATACTGTAGGAACACGGTAAGGGGACCTCGATGCCAAAAGCTCTATTTTATAGTATGGTTACAATTATTATAAGTGCTTTCTTTTGCTATCGAGTGCAAAGCTTGCATACCCAGAATCTTTGGTTATGAAACTCCTCGAAGGCTCTGTTTTATTTTCCAGATAAAGTAAGACACATTTTTGACATAGTTATTTAGTAAAGAATAAAAGAGAGTATTTGAGTTGAATATATATTGTACATTCTGAGTACAACTCAGATGCCATGCATTTTGCATTTTTCCCGTTTTTTTTAGTACATTGAAGGCAAAGTCTATCAAATCTGGATAAGTGAGCTTTTCGTGTGATAACTAGTCGAAAGCCTTAGCCAAGCCTTGTCCAAGCAGCATCTCATATTATTTTTGTCTAATCGAGAAAATCAACTGAAACTCTTGTCCGTACTGTACTCCTCACAGCCTTGAGACGCTGCTGTTCTGCCTAGGGAAAGTACGGTATGGGCGAGAGAGTTGAGCTTTCAGTTCATTGAGCTGCCACTTGGGCAATTACCTAGTTAGGAATTTCGATCACTCAAATCTTTTTCCAGTCAGGTCTCTGAACTGCCGTATTGTATTTTGGATTTTTTTTACAACGGAGTCTAAACCTGAATTGAAATTTTAGATTTTTAGTGAATGTAAGATCTCATTTTACTTGCAGTACAGCTACGATGTTCAGTGACATATTCTCAAGTTTAAAAAACTCCTCAGATATTTGAGAATTCATTTATCGGAAAAGCGAAACATTTTAGTTCACAAAAAGAAAATTGTTTTGTAAACTTTTTTGCATTCACTGAACGACTGACTGTGCAAATCCTTTTCATCCTTTTCTTCGTGTGTTGCACGGAATTTTCTTGCACTCACATTCATTTCCATAATCTCAGCTTATCCAGCTTAGTTTTTACACTGTATGAGTAATAGTTTCTTAACTCTTTGTACCAACTTAATGAAGATATTTCCTGAAAAACACGCTTTAAAGTCTTTTCATTCGTTCCTCATTATACACTTAGCGTCTCATCTTCTTTTTTCTTGATGACAATGTAGCATAATTTTTTTTTGAGGAAATAGTCTTGAATCACGAAAAACCTAATCACACATAAGTGCAAAGCAAAGCTAATCGCTACATTTTTTCCTCTGAGTTGCACATAAAATGCATAACATGTGAGTTGCAAAGGAGGAAGTGGAACAACATTAAACACCTTGAAAATGTTCGTTTGAAATAGAAAGAACATTCGAAACATGTTGCGGGGCCGACGCCGCCCTTTCGGCTAACTCCGCCCACTATCGATTATTTCGCAGGCGCGGAAACATTTTTGGAACATGCCTCTCTCCTCTTCTGACACACTTTCTCGTAACTTTGTGTGCCCCCTTTTCAGCAAAAAATTCGTGCGCGATATTTTCGAAAATGTCCGAATAGCTCTTTTCACTTTTTATGTATTTTCACGAAAATATGGGGTTTCCCATGAATGTGCCTACTGGTTGATTGTTGATACCTCGTCTGTCATGAATTCTTTTGAGAAGCTTTGATACCATTTTATAGAGCTGGCTGCAACTTATATTCACAATATCGACCGAATCGTCAACCAACCGTTCCTACTGTAGGGTTACGGTATCAACTTTGCACTCGTTTCTCAGCCCTTCAGAGCAGAAAACGCTTGCAAAAACCTTTTCAAATTCTGAGAGAGTTTACACTAAGTTTTTTAAAGACAGATTCTTACCAAAGATGTTTAAGAAGAATGCTGAAGGGGGATATTGTGATTAAGAATTAGTTTTGGAGTGAACTTGTGTATTTCAGAGGTTGCAAAGGTTTTCGCAAGCTTTGTGGCTGTGAAGGGTTTATAAACAAGTTCAAAGTTTCTGCCCCATTCATACAATAGGAACAAGTGATCGGTGATTGTGATTCCACTTGAATCTAAATTAAAGTCAGCTCTATGGAACGATACCTATAGCATCTCGAAAGACTTTATGACAAGAAAGATACTGAAACTCAAACAGTAGGCACATTTTTTGGGACACCCTCTACAAGATGATATAAGGCGTACTTAAGCTACCCAGACTGAATTTCTGAATGCTCATTGCTCCATAACCCTTTTTCAGTCATGCATAGGAACCTCACCTGCACCCTATTGGCTTTTTGACAACGGGACCTTGATTTTATGACACATAACTTGTTTTTTTCACTTTGACGTGACCGCTGTTCCGGACATCTTATTGTCTCTATAAACTTGCTTTGCTCGACAACTTTTGACGACTATTTCAACTGACCACGAACCACGTGGACAGACATTGGACAACTGCTCCTCGAATGTTGCATCGGATCGGTTGTAATCGCGTACTCCATCACAGCCAAGCTTATTGTTCTGGGAACAATGCCCACTCGAATTTCTACACAGATCCTCCACTCGCTTTTGCTCAGCAACATGTTTTTGTTACTACAAGAAGGACTCAACTTGTATCGCTGTAAATTCTCCACGATAAGTCGCTGACAGTTTGTTTTGTATGTGTTGAGAGACTTATACAACATGTAAAGAACACGGTGAATCGTTGATTTTTTCCGGGAGAGGAAAGGGAGGGGGCGGAGGAAGGGAGATTGACGCTTTATAGAGGCTTCCTACAAAATTTTTGCATCAATGTAGAGTTGTTGCAAGCTTGTAACCCTACATTTCTTCGTACACAATTGATTCCATCTTACCAAATCAAATTCAGAGCATTCAATCATACAACAACAAAAAATAATTACGATTTCACCAACAATAACTTAAGAAAACCGCTTTCAAGAACTTGGCCCATTTTCCAAGAGAGACAGGGGAGGGGGAGGAGGCATGCTAGATGTAGCTTGTAGTATTGTTATACCTTATATAGAAAATTAGGGTTCGGGCTCAGGTTACGATCACCTTTCATTTTCTTGCTCATTAGACTAGTTTGTGCAATTGCACTACCGTGTTCACTGGCAGGATGGTGCCTCAGAAGACCTTCCTGTGAACATCCGTAGAAACTTTCGTTTTTTTTCTAGTTCGTTTCCTCGCAGTTTTTTGAAAGTGGTGCAATCGCACTAAGCAACCCATAAGGGTCACTATGAATGAACCGAGTTTTTATGTGTCGTAATGGAAGTGCAAACTGTTTCGTGTTTTGAGCTCAAATTTATTACTTTTTTATGGAAGATGCTAATATTTGTATAAATTTGCTTAAAATTTCCATTCTCATTGAAATAATTTTAATCCGTTGTGACCAATTATCTGATAAAAAATGAAATGCTGCGAAATTTGATACTATGTCAAGACATCAGTGAAGTCAAGATGACAGTGTACTGAGTGCTCTTGTCGGACTTTGATGTCATCACTCTTAAGAATGTGTACTAATCTCTAAAACAAAAAGACTAGGAGAGTCATGCCTGCTATTCATTGACTATTATCTCCTGAATGACAATTTCCCCGAAAGATTAGAGCGAATTAGCTGATGTGTGACAAAGACGCTTTTTTTCCAACGCCAAACATTAAAGGACCAGAAGTTCAGTTCGGAACTTCCGCTCAGACCAACTTCCGCGATGTGGAGCTTCCGCGGAACTTCCGCTCTAAAAATGAGCCATGCTTTTTCGGTGAGGTCACTTTGTTGTCACCCTCGTGCAAGTTCCCGTAGCATACCTCTACTTTTCAGGAAAATATGTCAAATCTAAGTTCTGCGGAAGTTCCGCAAAGCGCTCACCTAACCTCTGCGGCATCAGCGATCTGCATAATTCTGCATTCGATCATAAAATCAACACCACCTCTATTTGGCTCTCACTACGCTTGCCAAAATAAAGACGAGGCCTTTTCCATCCTCTTACCCTCCCCCCCCCCCCCCCCGCCCGCCCCCGATTCTTTTCTCGTTAGCAAATCATTGCAAGAGTAGCATTGAATGTCCAAATTGCACGCAATCCCAACTCTAAAATTGACTCCGTCAGCACGGCTCACGTGCTTTGTAGTCGACAAAAAGGGAATTCTAGATTCTCTTTTTCATTTCTGCTTCTCTCCACTTGCTATGGCTTCTGCACGCTCTTCGTGCGTTCACTTTTATCAACGAACCATTTTTGCTTGTACAGCCGGCTGACGCAATGAAAACTATGCACCTGATGCAGACGAACCTTCCTGAATTCCGTATTTGTCCACTGCTTTCGTCAATTATTGACTTTATGGTTAGCACCAAAAAACGGTTCATTGTGGTCCCGTTATTATTATGTATGACTTTAAGTCACACTTTCTAGTCTATAATATCTTTTTTCGCATATTTTTTGGAATTTTCCAAGATATGCAACGAATTTTGCACATTTTCAGTTGAGAAGACTACATCATATTCACTCTACATTCTCTCGTTACTCCTTTTTGAGAAATTGGTTTTGCAAACTATAATTTTAACTTATAAGGATGATTCTGCTGTCCACTTAATTTGTCTTTAAGTTTATTATCGTAATGATTTTTCAAAAGATTTAGTTTGTGCAGTGAATTTTATAGCTCAGTAGGTAGACCTTTAATCTGTGTTCTTGCAATGCCCACAATACTTGCCCTCAAACTTGACCATATTCGCAAAACTCAAAACGTACAGTCAATGGGAAATTTTTACGCGCAAAGGTTGTCGGCACCGCAAAATATCAATCTACTGACGGCAACAATTGGGATACCTTTTTAGCCTGTCCTAATTATTCTGTTAAACTCTTTTTCGATATGTTCGCAAAACTCAAAACGTACAGTCAATGGGAAATTTTTACGCGCAAAGGTTGTCGGCACCGCACCGCATCAATCTACTGACCGCAACGATTGTTTAGACACCTTTTTAGCCTGTCCTAATTACTCTATGAATTTTGGTTTTGATTATCACTGATTTTGCTTTCATTCTTCAGTCTGTTGAATTTTTCATTTTTTCAGTTTTTCAACTAATGCAAGTGTTCACATAAAGGCCAAAGCAGTAGCATGCCGGAATTTTGGAATATTATGAGATTGAAGCAAGAATATTTGAAACTCGGCAATAATGGTTGTCACTGATAGATTGACCGTCAAATTTATCGTGCTGTAATCTGTTTTCACACTTAAGAACAACTCTTTTATAGTAAGGTCAACAGAAAGCACAAAACCACTGTTGAGGAACCTGCAAAAATGGAAAGCTCCAAAAAATTCGTAGCAGTACCATAAAAAAATTTGAAGAATTAACAGTATCTATTTGAAACATGTTTCATCCACACTAAAGTATCTATGGAAAAATTCCATTAATTTTGAGAAAATATTTCCGTGTTAGCAGTGAAACAGTTTATGATGATAAGTTTTTTGCGTTTTCGATGTATTGTAGCATCGTAACAATTTCCCTTAGAAAATTCCACTATATGCTGAGTTAAAACAACGCAACCGCATCCTAAAGTACGACCAACTTACGCAGACAACGCATCAGTTGCGTCTAAAAGTGACGACGCGGTGTTTTGATGTCTGCGCATCCGCTTTGTACATTATGTCTAAGCAATGAGCGTCGACTTCGATACACAATTGCAGCAGAACATGCATTGTACAGTCAATAAAAGTTGCGCAAATGTGAAAGTTTGACGCATCCAGAAAAATTCTGAAATTTACATTTTGGGTACACATTTTCAGCACAGATAGCTTCGCTCATATTCTTGCTCAACTTTTAGCGATGTCATTGCGCTTTTTTTGTTGAGGGATGTCAATAAAATGGGATTTGAAACTGGTATTGCGTGTCGGGCTAGAGTCATAAATGATAATGTAGAATGCAATACGGAACCAGACAATAAAGTTTGTCTTGCAGGGCAAGTTTTATAGCCTAGAGGCTACATCATGCGCCATATGTTTCAGCTTCTAAGAGCTTTCATGTGATACGGTTAGTAGATTCCATAAAGC